TCAAAGAAAACGATCGGACAAACACAACGAAAACAGGCAAGCCTAACGGAAAAGGAAGCAAACCGAAGGAAGGAGAAACAGAACAGTGGAGCGGATGGGTCGTCCACTGAGGGTGAGGTGGCGTCGGGGACGCCTATCTCGATGGGGCTCCCAGAAGTCAGTCTGACGCTGGTCTCTGGGAGCCGAAGAGCATCAGATCGGCTGCGTTCAGGATCTGCCGTTTCATCAGATGGCGCGGACGCCATGGAAGCGGAGCGGAGCGACAGCCGGAAACGCGGACGCTCCAGGGAGGAGGGGACCGACACGTCCGGCGAAATGATGCCACCAAAGGTGGCAAGCAGCCGCCGAGGGAGGGCGCGTAAACCGGCCTCGGCCTCGGTCTCGACCCCGTCAGGCTCCGCGTTCTCAAACGCGGAGTCCTACAGGAGCGTACGAGTGGACGGCGAGGCCGTAGCGGAGGAGGAGATCGCGGATCTCCTGCTCAAGGTTCGGGAGCCGGTGGGGGGAAATGCCCCCCAGGCTCCCGTGTCCGTGCAGGAGAGGGCGAAAGCGGCGGTGGCCGTCATCAACAAGGTGGCCACCAAATCCGTGAACCTTAAGGGCTCGTTTGTGAGGGCCCTTAAGGACTCCTCCTCCGCTTTGTCGGAGGTCGTGGAGGGCCTAGCGGGCGACGTCTCTCGCCTGCAGGTGGCCAACGAGAAGCTGACGGAGCGGGTGAACGAGCTGAGCGCTCAGTTCGCCCGCTTCCAGGCGAACCTCCCCGAGCGGGAAGCCCCGTCCGCGTCCCAGCCTGCCCCTACCACCAACTCAGGGGCATTTGACTCCCAACTGCGAGAAATCCTCATCGCAGTTGGGAATATGCTGGACGGACGCCTGGCTGGCCTGGAGGCGAGATTGCCTCCTGCGCCGATTATGCGCCCCCCGCTCGCGTCGGCACAGCGGCCTAAGGCCGCCGCTCCGACCGCGCTCCCCGTTGTGGGAGGCCGCGTTTCTTACGCGGCGGCGGCGTCTGCCCCTACTCCATCGGCTCCACAAAAGCCGAGGAGGGGGGCCAAGGCACCGGCCCAGGCGCCGGCCAAGGCACCGGCTAAGGCGCCGGCCAGGGCGCATCCCCAGGCGCCGGCCAAGACGGGGCCTAGAACAGCGCCGAGGAGCGGAGTGGCATTCCCTCCGCTCCCCACTCCGACACCCCTGCCGGGCCCCTCCGCACCTGCCCCCTCCAACGAGGGTTGGCAGGAGGCGAGGGGCTCCAAGAAGTCCCGAAGGCGGGCCAAAAAGGCTGCCCAAAGAGCAGCCCAAGCCCTGCCTTCGCCACCGGTGGCAACGGCCTCTGCAAAGAGGCCGCGGAAGCTGCAGCCGCCCAAAACCGCGGCGGTAGTGGTGACCGTGTCCCCGGAGGCGGCTGACGGCGGGCTGTCCTATGCGGACGTCTTCAAGAAGGCCCGGGACAGCCTCGCCAACGAGTTTGGGACGGTGGGGCTCAGGCTCCGACCGAGGAGGTCGACGTGGGGGCTGGCCGCTTTCGCGATGCGATTACGCATGTATGCGATGCGGCCATGCCCCGCGTTCGAGGTCGTCGGCCTCCAAGGAAGGAGGTCTACTGGTGGTCCCAGGAGCTGGCGGACCTCCGTGCGGCCTGTACACGTGCCCGGAGGTCCTACACGCGCAGTCGGCGGCGTCACCGTGGAGACGGTGAGGAGGACCGGCTTCATGAGGAGTACCGACGGGCGCGGAAAACTCTGAAGCTGGCCATTAGCCGCGCCAAAGAGGAAAAAAGACAGGAGATGCTGGAGGGTCTTAATCGTGACCCCTGGGGTCGCCCTTACCGCGCGGTGCGACAAAAGCTCCGCGCGTCGGGCCCCCCCCTTACGGAGACTCTCCAGCCCAGCTTCCTGCGAGAAGTGGTTGAGGGCCTTTTCCCACAACGGGCGGAACACACTCCCCCGTCGATGGCCTCCCTGGCCGGAGACGACGGGGAGCACGGGGAGGACAATGTTCCGCCCGTCCGGGAATCGGAGGTAGGGGCGGCTGTTCTACGGATCCGTTCCAAGAACACCGCCCCTGGGCCAGACGGGGTACCGGCCCGAGTGCTGGCCCTGGCCCTCAACCACATGGCAGACCGCCTCGGGGAGGTGTTCGACGCTAGCTTGGCGTCGGGACGCTTCCCTGAGTGCTGGAAGAGCGGGAAGCTGGTCCTACTGACGAAGCCGGGACGGCCTGCCGATTCGGTCGCGGCCTATAGGCCCATCGTGCTGCTGGACGAGGCGGGCAAATTGTTTGAGAGGGTTCTTTCTGCCCGCATCGTCCGGCACCTCTGCGAGGTGGGCCCCGATCTGTCGGACGCCCAATTTGGTTTTCGGGCGGGGCGTTCGACAGTCGACGCCGTGTTGCGCCTGAGGGCCGTGACCGAAGAGGCCGTGAGCTGTGGCGGCGTGCTGTTGGCGGTGTCATTAGACATCGCCAACGCATTCAATAGTCTGCCATTCAGCTGCATCAGGGAAGCACTCCACTATCATGGGGTGCCAAAGTACCTGAGGCGGCTGGTGGCAGACTATTTAGAGGAGCGTACCGTCGTGTACGAGGACCGAGAAGGTAATCTGAGGTGTCGGCCCATGTCGTGCGGTGTTCCACAGGGGTCTGTTCTTGGACCCCTCTTGTGGAACATAGGGTACGACTGGGCCCTTCGCGCCGATTTCCCCCCCGGGCTGGGTGTAATCTGTTACGCAGACGATACCCTCGTGACAGCCCGGGGGGCAAACTTCCAAGAGGCGGCGCGCCTGGCCACAGGGGGAGTCTCCCTGGTGGTCGGGCGCATTGAGGCGCTGGGCTTACGGGTGGCCCTAGATAAGACGGAGGCCCTGTTATTCCATGGGCCCCGTCGTGGTCCACCCCCTGGCGCCTCAATAGTGGTCAACTCGGTCCTCGTACCGGTTCGGGCCCAGATGAAATATCTGGGCCTGATCCTCGACGGGAGGTGGCTCTTCGACGAACACTTCCGACAGCTTGCTCCAAAGCTGGTCGGCGCTGCGTCTGCCCTAGGGCGACTTTTGCCCAATATGGGTGGACCCAGCGTCGCGACAAGACGGCTGTACACGGGGGTTGTCCGGTCAATGGCACTGTACGGTGCACCGGTGTGGGCGGCGGCTCTGACCGCCCAGAATAGGGTACGCCTCTGGCGCCCTCAGAGGGTAATGGCGGTCAGAGCCATACGCGGTTACCGCACCGTTTCGACGGAGGTGGCGTGCGCATTGGCCGGAACTCCCCCGTGGGATTTGGAGGCGGAAGTGCTCGCCGAAGTTTATCGGCGAGTGGCTGACTTCCGGGCGGAGAGCGGATTTCGCCCTCCGCCCGAGGATGTGCGCGAGTGGCGCGAAGCCGCTCGCCGAGCCACGATGGCTCGTTGGTCGTTCCGGCTGGAGACTCCACGCGCTGGCTTCGCCGCCGTGGAGGCTCTCCAGCCGGTCATCGCCGAGTGGGCAGGGCGGCAGCACGGGACCCTTTCCTTCCGGCTGACGCAGGTGCTTTCCGGGCATGGTTGCTTCGGAAAGTACCTGCACACGGTCGCTAGGAGGGAACTGAGTCCCGCCTGCCACCACTGCGACTGCAGTGAGGACTCGGCCCAGCACACGCTGGCGGTCTGCCCCGCATGGGCGGCGCAGCGCCGGGCCCTCACTGCAGTCATCGGAGTGGATCTCTCGCTACCGGCCGTAGTACGCTCCATGGCCGGTAGCGACAGTTGTTTTACCGCGGTCGCAACCTTCTGCGAGGTAGTAATCTCGCGGAAGGAGGCGGCGAAGAGGGCCCGGGAGGACGACCTCCACTCGGACCCGATCCGCCGCCGGCGAACCGGGCGGCGGAGGCCCGCCTACCACAGCCTCATGCCGCCCTGAGTGTGGCCGCGGGTGGACGGGGTGGGTTTCCCCTCCACCCGCATTAGTTGGCCAGCCGCGAGGGGGCGGCGTCCGCGTGTGCCGGACGTCGCCTAAAGAGAGAAAAATGTATTGAGACGGAGCCCGCACCAGGAGCGGGCTGGCGCTAGGAGGGGTCCGGATGTCTTAACAACAGCTGTTCCCGGATCCCTCCTGTTACAGGCGCAGAGTGGCACACCGTGTGGTTTTAGTCGGTCCGAGTCCGACACACCACCCCGCCGCAAACCCCGGAGGGGTGACGGTCCGAGGGGATTTCCACACGTTAAAAAAAAAAAAAAAAAAAAAAAAAAAAAAAAAGGGTTTGTTTCAGGTTTGTTTAGATGTTATTATGACCCAACCCCATTGTTTTCCCAATGCCGGTTTCGGCATGTATCTAGCCGTACTTACCTAAATTTACTGTTTCCCAATATTAAAATTAAGGAGCGACGTATAAGCGCGTTCGTTTATCGAAAATAGTACCCTATTTTTAATCCAATGAAATAGTTGAAAATGAAATAGTTCCAATCTTGTTTAAGTAGCTTAAGCAACTCTGGTATGAAGTAACTCCTCGAGGTTTAACAGGGGCTTTAGTATGATTCACTACTTCATAAACTAGTATAATTTGAGATTTATAATATTCCTAACGTATTGATTGGGTTTCTAATACCTATCATCCCGAGATACTACAAACATAAACATTATTGCCACCAATACCTGATTCCAATCAGATTACATATTAGATTTCCAAATTGGGCACTCTATTGGTATCCGCTCAATTCGAAAGCCCGTGTTCAGGTGTTTTGACTGAAATTAAACAAGAAGTGAATCTCAATTAAGATATTTGGTTTCAATTAAAACAATCGTGTACGGGAAAACGTAGAATACTTCAAACAGAATATAAAGAAAAATATATAGTTGCAACTGTCATCATCATCTCAGCCGAAAGATGTCCATTATTAGACATAGGCCTATCCAAGGCGCAGCACAACAATAGGTCTTTTTCTGCCCCCATTCAACGGCTACAACAGATCGTCGTACCACATTGTTTATAGAAAGAGTTTGCTGAAATAAAACTTCGTTTTATTGTTACAGATCTCCCAGTACGTGTTCGAAGAGACTTTCAACTTGTTATTCGCCGTGCCGTTCACACAACACAATGCGACTGTCTCTGGAGCTACTTTAGCTGCATTGTCACCAGCCCAGGTGGCTCATATCAAACGGCTCAACTCGCTCGACCTCGAGCTCTATGAGTTTGCCAAGAACTTGATGTTTAAAAGGTATGAATGCATTAAAAATTACGATAGGCTGTAAGTATTTTAATAATTTTTCTTCTTGTTGTTGTTCTTTAGTTTTGTTCTTGTGCTGAATACTTGTATAATGCGCATTGGTATGACGTTCATAAAATGTATGATTGTAGAATTGTGCCTTGATTTACACCTCGTAACTTGTATAGTCTAGTAAACAAAAAAAAAATCTCCACAGTTTGCTGCGGTGTTTTAGGAATTTTAGTTTTTACACGGGACAGAAACTTGTGGGATACACTGATGTTTTTCTCGATACTCGGCATTTTTTGTGTTCTTTCACTCGTAATTTAATTGTAAGGTCGACACAGTAATTATTTAAAAAAATGCTAGAGGTCATGCAACCCGTGTAAGTTATCAGCAGTTATTTTCGGCTGGAAGCTTATCATATAATAACAAGGTCAAAACTGTATTTGTTTCTATAGTTTTCCCACTGTTAAGCGGCCAGTAAACGCCAGTAACCTTGAGCTAGTAAAGTTCGCCCCCACGCGCTATGAACACACGCACGTAATTCTATCATCATAATCATAAACGTGTTCCACTGCTTCTGCACGCAGCTTGTAAATCAATTCATTTAATTCAATAAGTTATAACTGTCTTAAAGATTTTTTTTTTAAATAAGTAGATTTAGCTACTATTATATACATATTTTTATTACGTCGTTTTATTGTATATTAGTTTTAAAAAAAACGGCGTGAGGGGTCAATGTACCTTCGTTCGGAACTAGGTACAGTAGGTGGCCAAATTATTAGGGACAGTATCGAAATTTTTGAATTTCCTAGTTTAATTGGATTTCTGTAACAAACGATTAGTTGTAGGTCTCTTATATATTTTTTCTTTGTATCTGTATGCTATAAGGATCATAAAAAGTACAAAAAATATATACAAAACTGATTTATATTCTTCGTATGAGTATTATCAATTTTGGTAAAAATAAATAAAATATTTTTTTAAATTTAGTGATGCCACCCTTTGCTGCAATAAGAGCTTCTATGCGTCGGGGCATGCTCTCAATACATCTTTTTGCATTTTCCTGGAGTTTGGAGTTGTGATGCCATTCTCTGATGAGAGTTTCAATGAATTGTCGCTTAGTGGTAATCACTTCTTTCGCGATCGCCCGTTTGGTGAGTTCCCACATGTTTTCTATTGGATTCATGTCTGGTGAATTCCCTGGCCAAGGCAAAACAGAGACATTTTTTTAAGGCAAAAATGCAGTTACACTTCTGGCTTTGTGGCACAGTGCCGAGTCATGCATAAAAATGTATTCGTCATCATCAGGGAACTATTCATTGACCTGCGGCTGTAATCGCGTTTCTAGTACTCGCTTGTATTGGTCTTGTTTCATAGTCCCTTCCACCATGTATAGGCGCCCCATGCCTTTGGCTGAGATGACAGACCACACCATGAAACCGGGTCTTTAACCTTCTCTACAAGGCAAATCAGCGTGAAATTTTTCACCAGGACGTCGTCTTACAAAAGAACTTTTGTCAACCAAAATTTGGAAGGTTGATTCGTCGGAAAAACACACCTGTAACTAATAGAATGAATAGTAGAATAAATAAATAAATTGTTATTGACCAATTGCATTATACAAAATAGTTACACTTACTCGACTCCAGTCTGCAAGTCAGTCATATATTGATGTTGCCTAGCCCATTGGAGTCGTTTCTTTTTCATACTATCGGTTAGGCGCGGTTTTTTGGCAGGCCGCCGTCCCATCAGATTCTCTTCGACCAACCGCCTCCGCATTGTCCTCTCTGAAATCTTTACGCTCTCTTCGTTTATCATAGTTGTTAAACGAGCAACGCTCTTTTTACGATTTTCGAGGCAGATGTTCCTGATTTTTCGATCGGTACGAGCTGTTCTAATCCTTTTCCTGCCATATTTGCCAGCACGATTTACTTTAAGAGGCTTTTTATTGTCAATTTTTATTTTTATTCGATTGACGACAGACTTTGAAACCCCAGCAATAGCTGCTATGTCTCTCTGGGAATGTGTGGAGTGCAGGAACAACGTTTGTATCTCTCTACATTTTCTTGGAGTCGTGTCCAAAGTCCTACCCATCCTAAAAAGTTTAAAATTTTGGGTTATCGTGTCGAACCATTAATAAAATGTAAACTCATAGACAAAACGTAGCCAAACTATTCTTATACGGACCATTACTTACCTTTTGATTAATTAAGACACAAAAGTCGGTTAAAACTAATGAAAATATAATACCTAGTCAATACAACAATAAAACCGAAAACCGCGCTTTTTACGGGCAAATAAGAAACGTCACAAAATTGATAAAAAACGCACGTATTCTGTGTTGCCATTTGACAAAAACAATAATAATGATACCAGTTAATATATCAGATACAATAACAGCTTAAAAAAAACATCATTTATTCAAAAAAATATGATAAACTATAAATTACATAAATACGAGCACTGTCCCTAATAATTTGGCCACCTATGGTAAGTTCCTTTCGCTTTTTGGTAGACGTTTGCTATAGTGTCGGAAAAAAAAGTCTTGTTACACATTTTTCGGTCTCGGTCCCATCCGCTCAGAGTGTGTAACGCTCGATAAGGAACTTCGTTCTAAAATATACATCAATTTTGCTTATGGAAAATTAAATGTTGGATTTTACCTTTAATTCCATAAAAAGTTTCGTTGAGATTACTGAACGAATCTTAATTTTCTTTATTATTATGAGTAGATATCGCCGTATGCTAATGTATATGAAGTAAAAGTATATAGATGTAAGTTGAGTGATTGTTAATTATGAGAATTATTAATTAAATTTTAGAATTGTTAATTGTACTGTTGAGCCCTGACTCTAGGATAGTAATGAGTTCACTTTTGGAACATCTCTTTACAGTGAACAGTAACCTCTTTTTCAGCTGCCCTTTTCGATATTTAAATAACACTTACTCTGTATAAGAGTCTTACTCTAAATATTGTTCAAAGGAAAACATAGTTTTTAGGGTACGGGACAAAACACAGAAGGCAAAGAACTGAATATCTGGCGATAGTTTACATTAGGTACTAAAATAGCATTTTAAAAATATCAGTATTATCTATATATGTAAAAGAAAGTCTTGTTAGTTACACTATTTATAACCCAAGAACGGCTTAACCGATTTGGCTGAAAATTGGAGACGGACATAGGATACGTTTTGACATTTTTTTTTACTTTTTTTTTACAAAGTCGTGATCAGAGCGGATTAACGACCTTCTGGAATACACAAACGCACATTTAACGTTCCAACAATAGATGAAGTTGCCATCCTGATTGTTGGTGAAAACTTGGCAACACGCGATATTGTGCTTACACGTCGTTGCCTCTAAGGCGGAACAAAGTTCGCCGGGTCAGCTAGTATTATACTATAAGTACTACCGTTTCCAGTTACAAATACAAAAAATTACAACGCAGTACTGTATTATTATATTTAATTCCCTTTTAGTACAGACCAAAGTTTTCATATTGCATTTCAGAAAAAACGGTTTCAGTTTTACATTAAATCCAAATTTTCATCTCCCCAATCTCGCCTCAGCAATCGCAATCCAATTTCAAAGAGGATAGCGATGTAACACTAAGCTCGAGTTTGTAGTACATTTGTATGGCTCGATAGGAAAAATCTGGTTATTTGTTAACGCTTTCAGTAGAACGACGTATCCTGCATCATATGCCCCATATAGCTTTTGGGCAAAATGTGTTTTTAGACATAGACTTCTTCATTTTACACAAATATTATTGGGTCTTTTAAAGTTATTATTTAATCTTTATGTCATGCAACACTTACATGGCTAGGACTACATGGTCACCTTTTGTGGATAATTTAAACCAACAATGCATCAGATAAACTATACAAATAAGTATTACTAAAAATAAAACTTCTTACTAAAAATAATAATTTATATTCATTTATATTTGTTTTTATTAACAAAATATACGCGTATTTTATGTTCACTTATAAAGTATGTTACAAGCAGGTACGTGTGGGCGGCGATGAAAAAAGAGTAAAATATTTTATAAACAATATTTACAAAAATATAATTCCTGGTATAATGGAAATACTCAATCGAAAATCGAATCCTGTCAAGACATTATCAGATCAGATTTTCTATTGTGTGTTTCCTATCGTTGAAACCAGAAAGCCCGATCGAACTTTTACATTCACACATATAAAATGTTATCAAGTAAAGATCGGCAGTTTTACGTCTCGTACGGTTCACTAATAATGCGGTTTAACGACGTGAAAGGTTTTCAGGGTTCCATATCTTAGGGTGATAAAGATACCCTTTTGTTACCACTGCCATCGTATATATTTATGTTCACTCGTTGTGAAAGTTCAATTAATTCGAATCCCTCCACATTTCATATATGTCTCTTATGTTATTTGAAATGGTGATTCAAAATAATCAGAATTTCGCCGGCACAGGCTGAAGTTGAATACACGCTTGACCAAATCTTCTCCACATACGATACATATTTATTTCCCGACCTCGACCCCTAAGATATAAGTTGAGAAACGTCGTTTTTAGATTGGGTTTCTAATCTAAGGGGATATCAACTATGCCCTTTATACCCCACGTTTGCGGTACCCGAGGTTGATTCGATATAATTTCTTTTATTTCTCTAGAACCCAACGACGTGGACCAAGTTAAAGTTGCACAACTTTGACAAAGTAATTTTGTCTCGGGGAGAATTTTAGTCGTACTCGAGTACGTGTCACGGAATTCAGTTTATTTGTATTGTTAATTGAACCGTATAAGCTTTGTTGGCATAGTTGGGAATACTAGCTATATAGTTAACGTATGTGTTCAAAATGACCGTAGCATATCAGCACCTTTGCCCTCTGACGTTGACCTAATTACCTCTGCACAGATTCGAAGCGCTGAAGAAACGAGACACGGATTTCGAATACCGGTGGCGGCACTTAGGCGAAGTGGCACGAGCCGGCGTCACCGAGTTTGACTGGGACAGCAATCTCGAGGATGCAACGACCGAGAAGTACCGAGGCAAGTAAAGCGCCTCGTCAACCAGTGACATCACTCACGACCCTAGTGCATACACTAGTCATATAGATAATCACATAAAATGAATAAAGAAAGTTATTTTATTATCGTTGCCTCTGAAGGAGGTAGTATGTAAATACTTCACATGAAGTTTCTCGAAGCGATATGTACAGAACTAATTAGTTTTTTAATCACCTTGAAAAAATAAGTTTATTTAATTTTGGTAACTGTCATGCATTTATAAACATATTATAAAAATTCTAAATTCTAAGGATAAGTACTTTTTCGGGTTTTTGTCAGTTTTTTTTATAATTATTGAAAGGCGTTCTCCATCCATCCCTAATGTAATGAACATACAATATATTATAAATATATCTGTAGGTGGTATTTAATATTAAACTATATTGTTGAATGAATGTTAACATTTTATAGATAACAGGGTAGGTAATACAAATAAGTCGAGCCCAACGAAGTGTTATAATAGCCTTTGATGTGATGTTAACGCATAACCCGAGACTTCTTTCGTCTCGGACGGCTGTAATGTAAAGTCTATTTAATCCAATAATATGAAAGTACTGTAGTTCTTATTCTCAACTCCAAATCAGAGTACTTTATGACGTCAACTATTTTTTTCTCACTCTTGAACCGCCAGGATATGGTCAATTGCATCGAGATGGGTGATTGATCGAGCCGAGTTGATTGTGTGAGCTTTGTGACCCCAATTGATCCGGCGAGTGATTATTTTATCTTGTCACCGACTCAAATGTCAGATCTATCTGCTTTCTTACTTCTGAGTGTCACCTTCACGTGAGATATACGTAGCATGAGCAAATTACAAGAAGCATGTAACCTAAAGATGCTTTATATTGTTCTTTATCGTGTTGGTCAGCTTGCATGGCAAAGATCATACAGAGTCGCATCAGGTTACAAGCGGTCGACACTGCGGTCCTTTATAACTAGTCGTTATCGTTCGTTTAGTAATAAACAAATTGTTCTGTAAATCTCATGTGGCTGGAGGGAAAATTTACAATGTGACGCAAATTATTAATGTTCAAACAATGTCGAAGGAATTCCCATCGGCGAAAGTGATAAAATGGTATCGCTAATCTCAACCGTAAATGTTCAATTTGGTTGCTGTTTGTAGAATAATACGTACAGTCAAGTGCACAGAGAGGTATGAAATTTCTCGCCAGTCAAATATAAATTTACATACAACACCATTCTTCTCACATTGTTGAAGCTATTATTTGAAGTGCACTCGAAACAGCGCTGCACTACAGCAGCCCTGTTTTTAGTTATAGATAAGATTTCTATATTTGCTACTTTAAGTCCTCTCTTAACAACCTATTTTGATCCAGAGTATTGCGATCTGTACGGGTATAAAACTCGTTTTCTGCTGCTTTTAATATGAATTAGCTAATTACAAAATTCTGAATTAGAAATTTTTACCAAAGAACAAAAAGAGTGCTATTTTCGTCTGTTCTCATATCGATTTAAGTTTGTGATTAAGTTTTACTGTAGCCATGTCTATTCGATGCTAATTTAATTAAAAACTGCATCTGCAATTCATAAACTAATGAAAGTATACGCAATTGATCAGAACAAAGTCCATAACCACGTTGAATCATTTCATTTTTTTTATTTGTAATTGTGTCTTTTAAGATGAAGATGCAGTCTAGCAATAACGGCCCCCGTAGCGAGTTTTGCATAATATCCTTAAAGATGAATGGAAATAAGAGTATTCATTCATTTTAATTAAAGTTTAGTGACTATTTTAAATGTAAGTTCATTAAGACGTTATCTATAATATAGCAAATGTATATAAAACGATTGTGTTCTTATGTTGTTTATTAGATTTGTATGTATATCCACATTTTTTGTATACAATGTGCGGTATCAAGATTAATGATTAAGATTTGTTTCAAAATGTTCTAGTTTTGTTATTTTAATCAGACAGTCAAATTCCTGAGGTATATCTCCTTCACATTCGTCTTAAAACGTATACTACATAAATGATGTAAAAATGTGTCAAAAAATATTTTGTTAAAGCTATCTCATGTTACACACTGGTATTGTTGCGAAACATTCGAGTTTTTTCAATATTTTAAATAAAATAATATAATTCGATAAAAATTTACGATTAACGAAAAAATAAAATATCAAACGTCTGATCCAAAGATTAATTATTAACGTATATGTTTATGTAACAAGTGGGATATTCTGATTTAATGCAAAAGTAATAGTTCACTTTTTTATTACTACGGCGCTGACATATGCAATATTTATGTCCACTTTACATACATATAATTTACTTTTCTGTTGCATTACGATTCAGTTTGTAATAATATTGTGTCAAGCTGTCTTTACAAATTTGTAACTGAAAGGTATGAAACAGTGAAGGAAATTATTTTTTATTTTATTTTCAGTTTTAATTATATTTTGTACTGAATCACAATTTAATTATATTTTGTACTGAATCAATGTAAATTCTATGTTTGTAACTTTTCTAAAAATTTTTTTAGCAAACCTGCATTGTAAAATGTTTCGTAATTTTTGCAAAGTAAATTTAGGCAACTTCAACATAACTTTTTACTTTTTATTTTATTGTTGGTGTATTATAAGTACAATTTTAATATACTATACTAAGTACTAATGCACTTCATGACATTTGACAAGTTATTTTTTGTTCGTTTGTATTTTCTTTAATAGATAAAAGAAAAACAATGAGAAAAACGATATGTGTATTGTGAACAATATTTATCTAAGTTCTTATATATGGTTTTGTGTGAGTGACATCTATGTAAATGTGTATATAATTTTGAATGAAAAATATGTTCGACAGTCGAGTTAGTGCAGGAGCGCCGTGCTCCCATGGATTGGCAGGTCATATTTAGACAATAACACTTATAGGTCGCTTCAATTTAATCTTACTGAATTGCGTGCGAGGCGGTGTGTATGATATCAACATTTCTGTAGATACGTAGATAAAAAGACATTTACGAATTACTGCCATATACCTGTTTCTAATATCTGCGATGTTTTCGCGGTTGTCAGTCGAGTGGCTGACCTTTTTTTCAAAGCGATTAATCGTTGAAGTGTAAGCGGCATTTACGCCGGTTATTTGATTTAAGAAAATAAATTGCCAAAACTTGTTAATCCATATGTGACGCTGTCGCCGATTGAACATTAGATTTATCTCTTTTATGAGAATAATCTCAGAATCGATGTTACTCTCATAATAGTTTATCATAATAGAAGTAAGTATCTATAAAATGTACCTATGTATATTTTTCTGTGTGTAAAGTAACGCTAAGCCCTGTGATATGAGAAAAAATAAACAATTGCACCCAATGTTTTGCAGTAATATCCTCATTTAATTTTTTGAAAAATAATATCGAAAATAGCTTTTATATTTTACCTTTTTCGAGTGTACATAGTAAACTCATAGTATATTGGTCAAGTGACGTGGATGACTTATAAACGATGGGTGCATAAGCCATAAGTTTAGTTAGCCATATAGAGCACGTAATCATAACTATTGTGGTGACATGATAATATAATATACTTGATATTTATATAGTTATGTATCGTATGTACATATAGTACCATCACGGACGACCAGCACGGTATTCGTACAGTCCATCACCGCCATGATACGGCCCATCACAGCCGTAGTACACCTCTCCACCGAGTTGGTACAGCAAACCACTGCACCGGTACGGTTCCCGTTGTTTGGTACCAAAATTTAGCTTTTAGTTTTTTTAAGTTCCCGACTGAACCAAAATATAGTACTTTATATTGTGTTAACGATCACTGAGTAATAAAAACAAGCTAAACTACTTTTTAGTTTTATTTCGTGATACATACCGACTTAAAGTTAACGACTTGCGGCTCGTGATTTATAACTGTCTCTAATGAGTGCGCTCACAGAATGTACGAAAACTATACCACTCATGTCAGATAAACTCTTAATTAACAGAGTATGTACTGTAGGTATGTGTAATAAATACTTCGTGTCCAATTAAAGTGCGCTCTTACCGCTCCTACTCGTAGATTGGTACATTTTTCTAAATATTATGTCCATTTATGGCGGGAGCGGGACGCGAGTGCCGGCGTCAATGCAGCGTGCAGGAAGCTCGAATGGTCGAATTTGCATTTATGTTATTAGGCCGCATCCGGCCGAGTGGAGCGTCCCGCCGATGCGCCATCGCCAGTACCGAACACCCTACTGCGCCTCGTTTATGTCACATAATGTTACGTACTGACTACTTTTTATCTCAGCAATACTACTACTCATTCGTATCTGTTTACCGTTATGGATTAAATTAAGTTACATTTACGTATCTTGATTTTTTGATCACCGAATTTAGAGAAGTCGCTTAAAGCAGCAAGATCATAATAAAGTATCCCCGGAGCCAGCCGTCTCAGAAAGCACTTAACTTGAACTTATAAAAGCCCTCAGTTAAATAATTCCACTTCGTTTCTGTTACGCCATGTTTAATACACAGAACGGTACCTAGTGAATATTCTGTAAGTCAATCCGCATGTCTTCAATTAGTGTCTTGTAATTACTTAAACGAATTTGCCTGTTTTCTCATTCTGGAATACACGCAGTATTGATTACAATATCTATGTTTTTCGGGTACAACTCTAGGATACGATTTATGGATGAAGTGGATGTACGTACGGCCAAAATTTAATGATATGATCGGTGCGCATTTTGCAAATGTTTGTTTTAGAAACACCTGAGGTATTGTGATGACGGGATATCCAAGGGTTCAAAAGATATTCTAATAAATCCCTAGTGCAGAAGTTGTCGGAATTCGGAATAGAATATGGAGATCTTAACTGTTAGTCTTATGAAACATAAGAACACAGGATTACAGAATATTAAGATAGACTGCAGCTTACCTCGAATTCTGTTTTAATATTATCTTAAGTTCACTTAAAGTTCATTTCACGTCTAGGTTTTGCTCTAGACGTGAAATTAACTCTTTAGTTATAAAAAGTG